GATGGACTGCATGATCGCCCGTCTTTCAGGACTGCTCACAACGTGCATGAGCAGATGGACTGCATGATCGCCCGCCTTTCAGGGCTGTGTTTTATAAAAACTAAGAGCTCAGAGGCGAGAGTAAAGAACGGTCAGAAGGTCGACAGGAAGCAGGTGGGGCTCAAACAAAAACAGGAAGTAGAACTCAAACAGGTGCACAGAGGAACCAACAGTGACTCGGCTCCCTTCCCATGAGTCAGCACTTTAAAGCTCCGTGAGTCAGAACCTGAAAACTACTAAATCAGTGAAACTATTTAAAATTAAATGAAGTTTCATCAAATATGTTTTGATTTATGGTTCTTATTCAAATAAACGTCAACTTTAGAAGCTGCCCTGCTCCGAGTTTTGTTCAGAACCTCCAGAACCTCCAGCGTGTTCAGGCTGCCTTTGTTACGCCGTATTGTTTTACATTATTAATGTTTAACATATATCTTAGATCCTTATTTACTGTTTTCTTTTTATACTTTACATTTTTGCTAGTTTTGGTGTAACTGTGACACCGAGTACATCATTTTGTTCCACCACATGTACCACATGTGATGCGAATGACAATGAACTTGTGATTTTAAGTATAAACAGCATCCTTGGCTTTTGATTGACAGCTTCATGAGCCAATAGGAGCTCCCAATCCAGATGTTCTGTTTCCAGAACACGAAGCGACAGAGTGACCAGGAACAGGCAGGAAAACAACAATCTGAGAGGACAGGAAGCAGACGGAACGGACCGCACCAGAGGTTCTGACCTCCAGAACAGGAAAGACTTAGACAATGGGAGGAGGTCTTCTAACAGGGGTGTCAATGTCCATCAGAGTTTTCACTGGTCCATCAGAAAGTTCTGACTGGTCCATCAGAAAGTTCTGACTGGTCCATCAGAAAGTTCTGACTGATTCTGGCCAACATCAAAGCTACCATCAACACCAACGAGGACCCTCACCAGTACGCACACTGCAAGAATCGTTCAACAGAAGACATCATCTCCTCTGTGGTCCACACTGCTCTCACCCACCTGGAGCAGAAGGACTCCTACGTCCGTATGTTCTTTGTGGACTTCACGTCTGCCTTCAACACCATGATCCCCAGAACCCTGATGGACAAAATCTTCACACTAGGACTAAGCACCTCCATTTGCAACTGAGTCCTGGACTTCTTAATCGACAGACCACAGTCAGTGAGGATCCACAACCTCTCCTCCTCCACCATAACCCTCAGCACTGGCTCTCCTCAGGGATGTGTGTTAAGCCCCCTCCTGTTTACTCTGCTCACATATGATTGTGCACCTACTCATCCAGGCTGTCACATTGTAAAGTTTGCAGATGATACAGCGGTGGTGGGATGCATCACAAACAATGATGAGTCCAGCTACAGGCAAGAGGTGGAACACCTGGAGAGCTGGTGCAAAGAGAATAACCTTCACATCAATGTGAAGAAGACAAAGGAGATGATTGTGGACTTCAGAAGGAACAAAAACATCTACACCCCCCTGAACATAAGAGGATCTGCAGTGGAAGTGGTCTCCAGCTACAAGTACTTGGGTGTACACATGAATGACAACCTCAGCTGGAGCAACAACACCACCAGCCTGATCAAGAAAGCTCATCAGAGACTCTACTTCCTCAGACGGCTGAGACGAGCTGGTCTGGGAAGCTCAGTCCTCACCTCCTTCTACAGGTGTGCAGTGGAGAGCATCCTGTGCTCCAGCATCAACGTGTGGCATGGAGGCTGCACAGCTGCAGAAAGAAAAGCTTTGCAGAGAGTGGTGAAGGCTGCACAGAAGATGTTGGAGTCAGCCTCCCCACCATCACAGACATCTACACCTCCAGATGCAGGAAGAGGACCACCTGCATCATGAAGGACCCCACTCACCCAGCACACACTTTTTGCCCCGCTCCCCTCAGGAAGGAGGTTGAGGAGCATTAAGTGTAGAACCACTAGACTGAGGAACAGCTTCTACCCTGAGGCTGTTAGACTCATGAATCTCTAACCAGGAGAATCACTGCAATGACACTAATTGGCGATATGTGATTTATCTGTGCTGCTGATCATCTCATGCTGCTGATCTCTTGTCTTTAAGCTGCTGTATTCAAGCCCATCTGCTCACTACAGACTCGTGTTCAGGCTGCTGTTAATAATACACCGTATTATTTTACATTATTAGTGTTTAGCGTACATCTTAGATCCTTATTCTGTTTCTTTTTACATTTTTTTTGTTTTGCTATTTTTGGCTGTAACTGGGACCTTCAGTCCACAATTTCATTCCACCTCATGTACCACATGTGATGTGAATGACAAAGAACCTTGAACCTTGAATCCATCAAAAAGTTCTGAAGCCTGACTCAAAACAAACGAGTGAAATAACAGAACCGACGTGTCGGGATCAGAACAAACGAGACAAGAAAACTTAAACAGAACTTTAAATCGTCTTTGTGGTCCAGAAAGATCTTCAGTCCTCAAAAAGTTCCTGTTGGTCTTTAATCCAACAAAGTTAAGTCAGGTCCTCTGGATGGATTCTTTGTGTTGAGACGTTTCATCTTTCATCCAAAAGACTTCATCAGTCCAAGGAGCTGCAACAAACTCAGTCTTATAAATAACACCTTCTCATAGTGGGTCACCTGGTGAGAAGATGGTTTCTGGAGTCCACTCTCTCCCCTGTCGACTCCTCTGAGGCAGCCATGGCCAAAGTGGTTCAAAACATCAAAGTTCTAGCGCCATAATCCAGGTATAAATCCAACAAAGTTCAGTCAGGTCTGACTTCATGAACTGGTCTTTAAGGAGCTCCAGAACACAAGAACCACTTCAAACGGACCCTAAACCTTAACATGGACCCTAAACCTCAATGTGGACCCTGAACCCTGATGTGGACCCTGAACCTCAACAGGTACTTCTTAAACCTCCTTCCTGATGACAACTCCCACAGATCCACCTGAATCTTCTAGGGGTTCCTCTACCACACCAAGACCTGGTGACTACAGTTTTTGGTTTACAAAAAATAAAATTCACGGAAACATGAAGCAGATGATAAATAAACTTAAAGAGAACCGAACGGAACCAGCATGGTAAACAAACAGGGACAGTTTTAGATTATAAAACAGTTTCAAACTCACCAGGTATCTGGTTCTGGTCTGGGTTCTGGGTCTCTGGTCGCTCAGTTTTTTCCGCCTTCAGATAAAGAGATGCTGGACGTGGTGCGTGTCAGAATCTGGACACGTGAAGACTTCAGTCGGTCCAAACAGACTGATGAGTTCTGAGTTCAGCTGCTTGATTCAGCTGCCGGATGCTGCGTTCACTGACAGCTCGAAAACTCTATTTTCAACTGTTTAACCGTATTTTCTGTTTGCTGTTACAGAAATACACAAGCATTGCTCAACTTTATGATCCACGGTCACGTGACACACTAGTTAGTTGGTTATCACTCGCCTATTGCCTGTCGCGGCGGGCGATAACTAAAGATAAAGACATATACTTTACAGCATAAAAGTTTGATTAAGAAGGTGTTAAATCAAATATGAGATTATTATTATTTGATTGTTTCCCAGGATGGATTTCTTTACCTAATTTTATAAACAAAATTCCATAATAAAATGTTATTTTATTTACTTGTTTTATCTGTTTAAATATGAGATTAAATTAAACATATGATACAGTACTGATAAGAATAACGGCGAGACTCTTAGCTTTTCGACGTTCAGACTATGTCCTTAAACACACCACGTGATTCTTTGCACAGGAGCTCCCCCTAGTGGAAAAATGATGTCAGTGCATCAAAATGAGATTAGATTACAGATTTTTTACTGTATTAATCTGCATATTTTTGTTCCACATTTTCTTACCTTTTGAGTAACTGATTATATTTGTAATTTAAATAAATATAGAGTTTTTATTTTATTTTATGCGATTATATTTTCTTTTTTTTTGTTGTTTTTTTACCATTCGCTTTTTTTTTTTTTTTTTTTAATTTATTTTTCAGTTAGTTAGTTAGTTAGTTAGTCTTCGTAAATCAATTTGCGTTGCCTTCATTTTGAAAAGATTATTTGATTGTTTAAATGTTTATAAACGAAACAGCATTTTATTCTTTAAACAGCAAAAGGAGCTGCTGAAACTAAAAATCTGAAAACTGAATAAAAAAAATCTGTCAAAAGAAGAAATAAATAAACTGAGAGAAACTTCCTGCAGACAGTGACAAACTGCACAGAAACAACTGAAGACTCAGAAAGAAAAAACGGAAAACACTCCGCTGAAGGACTTTTATAGTGAAAGTCCCAACAGGAAGTGGATTGTTATTATCGCCCCAGATGTTCTCATGACGTCATCAGAGGTGTGTTCTGATTCCGAGCGGAGCGGCTGAAAAATGGACGAGAACGAAGATCTGGGTGAGTGGTTTTGTTTATCAGACTTTTATTTTGAAAGATTAATTTTATTGATGTTAGTTTTTTTATTTATCAAACATTTATCAAACACTTTCAGAAGTTTTCAGGATGTTTCTCTGCGCTGACAGCCTGTTCTAATAGTTCTGGTGGTTCTGTTGGGTCTGATGGTTCTGGTGGTTCTGATGGTTCTGGTGGTTCTGATGGTTCTCATGGTTCTGGTGGTTTTGTTGGTTCTGGTGGTTCTGGTGGTTCTGTTGGGTCTGATGGTTTTGATGGTTCTGTTGGGTCTGATTGGTCTGATGGTTTTGATGGTTCTGTTGGGTCTGGTGGTTCTGGTTCAAGGTGCTCAGCTGAGTTAGTTTTTGTTCATCTTTCTGGATTTCTGAAGTTTTGAGACAAACTGATGAAAACAAACTTTAATAAAGCAGAAAAAAAATCCTGCAGCAAAAATAACATTTCTGGATTTATCTTTTTTCCAGTTACAGATTTTTCTTTTTTCCAGTTACAGATTTTTCTTTTTCCAGTTACAGATTTTTCTTTTTCCAGTTACAGATTTTTCTTTTTCCAGTTACAGATTTTTCTTTTTCCAGTTACAGATTTTTCTTTTTCCAGTTACAGATTTATCTTTTTCCAGTTACAGATTTATCT